CCTTAACACGGAGCCCTGGCTCGGCCCCGGTGCCCAGCAGGTCCGTGCTTTGCTGGCACTACTGCTGCTTGGCCTGGCACCTGGTTTGCCCCCTCTGTGCTGTCCCCGAGGGGGGAAACTGGTCCCCCCATCTGCTCAGGAGCCCCCAGAGCCACCCAGTTGCTTTAGCTGCCCAGCGCACACACTGTGTCCATTGCCTTCACTCTTCCCTCTGTCCTCTCCTGCCCTGCCTGCTCGGTGTCGCTTGGGCTCCCACCCCCCAAACCAGCACCTTTCTCGGGTCAGCTTGGGGCTGTCTCTGAGCACGAGACCCTTTTCCACGAGGGGTGGGTGCTGCTGCGCTCCAGCTCGCACGGTGCAAAGCAGCAAGGGCCAGCGCTGGCCGTGAGCCACGTGGCCTTGGGACCAGCGGGCTTGGGACCAGTGGGCTTTTGCTGGTGGGCACTGGGTGCCTGCACCCCCTGCGATGTCCTCAGCCCACGGCTGGCTCTGCTTTTCCACACGGCCGTGGTCTCCCAGACTCCCATTAGCTCCTTGCTCCCATCACGGCTTCCCTCATAGCATCCTGTGCTGCTGGAGCAAGGGGCTCCCAGCTCTGCCTTCCCTGCCTCCCCCAGGGCCCGGGGGGGGGGTCGGTCTTGCCCCTCACATGGGCACCATCCCTATGCTTCTCTCTGGGCCGTGTCCCTGCGTGGGATCCCCTGGCAGGAGGTTGAATGGAGCTGACCTGCTCCATGAGCCGGGCAGAGCTTCATCCCCTGCCAGCGCTCAGCTGCTTCCAAAAACTCTGCAGGGCCGGATGAGCACTGTCCAGCTCATGACAGTGGTTGTGTGGCAGCAGAGAGGGTGGAATCAGACCCTTCTGCCTTGGCTGCTCAGCGAGTGGTATGGGGACAAGGTGGCTGTCCCCTCCGCACGGGCACAGGAACCTGCCCCAGCAAGAACCGGGGCTGTTGTTGCATCTGGTGTTCGTTATGGTGCAAAATAAAAGCTGCTGGTAGCTGGAAACAGAGGATGGTGGATCTGTGGGGACGGGTGCTGGGCTTGTGAGGCAGCAGGGACAGCAGCCCTGGGGCCTGGGGATGGCCCTGGCCCTTCTGCAGCCGGAGGTGTCCCCTCACAGGGTGGGCTGATGTGTTGTGTGCCCCCCCCCTTGCCGTGTTCCCGACCTCCCTTTGGGTGCTGCAGCACAGCAGCAGCCGTGCAGCCCAGGAAGGTGTTTGCATGCAGCGCTTGCTGCCTCTTCCCCGCTGCCAGCTTGTCCTTGTCCCGGAGTGATGCCCTGTGGTTTAAAACAGCCTTTTGCAGAGCTGATCCCACATCTTCATTGTGGGCAGCCTGGCAGGCTCCCGAAACCCTGCTGGGCTCTGGCAAGGGCAGGCAGGACCACGTGGCTGCAGCAGGCACTGGGCACAGGAGGCTGAACCCCAAACCTGCTGCGAGACCTCGAGAAAACGTGGGCGAGAGGTGGGAAGGAGAGGGGAGCAGCTTGGGACCCACCATGGACAGAGAGGGCAGGAGAAAGAGCTGAGAAACAGCACAAGTGAAAACATTGCAGCGAGCAAGAACCTTGGGAGGGGGAAAACATGCACATCCCCCCCTATTTATGCCCTGTCTGCCTGGGGTGAGATCTCCCCATCCAGCCCTCGATCCTTCCAGACCCCAGGCTGGCAAAGTCCAGACCCAGATCTCTGCTCCAAAAAGTCATTTTTATTGTGCCAAGGGGTGTGGGGGGGCAATTGTAAACAAGTGTGTGAAATATACAGGTTAAGTTACTCATCGTCTTATTAACAAAATAAAGCTCTATCTATATTTACAGTCTTTTTTTTTAAAAAAAAAAAAAAA